TATCTGCTGGTATAGCTTTCAAGAACATAGATTTCTTTCAATATCACAATAAGGCATTGGAATAAGCGTTTTGTAGAACATACTGAAATGAAGAAATTTAAAATATCACCCTCTGTTGTCACCATTGCCAATGACTCATGTCTTAATTTTCACTCAGAATGGAACCATTATGAGAGAGCCCCCCCTCCATTCCCACCCCCCAAGGATAGGACTTAGAAATAGACCCCAGAGAAAAATAGATAATGTAGCATTGTTTACCACATTTTAAAAAATAATGAAGTGTAGTATCATCATGTTTAAATATCATTAAATCTGAAACTATTCCAAAATGATGCAGGCTCTCCTGTGTGCCTTTTGGCAATGAATATTTGTGTGACAGAAAACAAAAACTACCAAGCATGCAACTCAATAAAACCTGCTAGTTCCTGCAGTGATGCTCTTTCTTCACGGGGGAAATGCAAGGGTAAGCCTGCCTGTGTGAGAACACATTTGGGGACCACTTATTTGTTCTCCTTCCTGTTCTTTCCCTCCATAGGGAAGAATCCTGAGTAACTGCTACATGCTTTTTTGAGGTCATTTTTTCAATGTGTTCCATCAGGGTCCTTTTGCCACCATTGCCCTCTCAGGCTTTTGGTCTACAGGGAGACCTTGGTCCTTTCAGAGAACATGGATTCTATCTGCTCCCAACTGGAAGGGTTTTCTCAACCCATTGTGTGAGAAAGTATTTTTTAATGTAATTCTTGAAGATGTGGATTGGCAACACATGTCAATATTTTTCATAAATCTCAGTCAAACACTTTATTCAGATGTCATAAAAATGAATGCTCTGTAACAGTCACTGTATATGAGAGCCTTCTGTTATTTAGAGAAATAATCATAGAAATCAGGCTTTATGATTAGACATATATTTTCTTTCCAACACAACTGTTATTTCTAAATGCTGCTGTGTTGTGGTTTCCCTATTAAAAATTGAATAAATCAAAGTGTTGTACCTCATCTGATTTTTATTACTAAAAACAAAGAAATCCCATAAATATTGGCCTATATATCATTCCACAAAAATCATGATTACATTATCACTAAGTATCCCTATTTGTTACTACCCTCAAAGAGGAAGGGTGGTTGATCTATGGGCACAGGAAGGTAGAAGCTACTCCCAGTAGCTCTAATTGGGGCACCAGTGTCAGCCCCTTGCTGAAGATGCTTTTAAGTAACAGATAAAAACAGAAAGAGTAAGATCTGACTCAGATATATGGTTGATCCTTTGTACTAGAATTGCAGAATTGTGTGAGTTGAAAAGAGAAAGTAAGAGAGTTGGATAAGAACTTTGATGGCAGAGCAGTGTGGCTCTGGGGTCTTGGTATTCATGCATAACTTTCCTTATGTGTCTACACTTGTGTTCCTCCATGCTATGTTTCTCTCTGGGAAGGTCTTGTGTGCCAGGCTATGTTGCAAGCTGCTCTATGTCACAGGTACAAGGAACTCTTGTAGTATTGACTTTATATTCTAAGATCAGAAAAAGCTGTGCCCTTTGTGATGCTTTTTAAACCTTTAGCTAACTTTCAGCCATGCCTACTTAGGGGTTATGAGGCTTTGATACCATTATTCACAACACTCCATTGTAATGTCTTTTAGCCAATCATTTAAGAAATATATCAGATAGGCACCAACAAATTGGGTTAACTCTCATGTCATGAGCCAATTGCCTCAGCTCAGAGGTGGGAGGAAGAAGAGGAAAGTTCAACAAATGGTGCACACTCTTAAATGTTGTTAACATTATGTTGCCATTCATCTGGGGGCCAAAGGAAGCGCAAAAGAAAAGTGATTTGGGAGGATCCTCAGAGGCAGCAGATTTCACATGGATATCCCCTGTAGTATTCCAGTCAAACTGGCCAGTTTGTGCTCCCCAAACTTAGCAGTCTACTTCCCATTTTGGTGCCTTCACATAGGCTGCTACTTGATCCTGGAATGTACTCCGTCTTTGCTTTTGCATCTTAGAATCCCTGACTCCCTTCAAAGCCAATATCATGTACTATATCCCATGGAAAGTCTTTCCTGATTCATGAGCTTGATAGTCTTCTTTTCTTCAAATAAATCATATGGATCCCTACCTATTTATATGTCATGTCACTCTAGTAGAATGTAAGTTTCCTGAAACAAGGGGATCTTAAAATTTTGTTGTATAGCCAGCACCTTGCACAGTGCCTAGCACACAGCAGGTGTTTAATAAATGTCTTTTATATTGGATTTTTGGATTAACATTGACTCCCCTAAGAATTAATCTAATTATCATGTTGATCAGCATTCAATTCAAAACATTGTTCTAGCTACCTGTAAAATTGTTTTGCCTAATATCATGTTTTCATAGAACCAATTAATGATGTTAGTTTGAATATGTCTATGAAACTTAAAACACAAAGAAAGAATGTTTTCCCAGGAAATTTTGAATTTTGGCTACTATTCCCTCCATAAGTAGCAAACACCAAAACAATGTATTATAACAATGGATATTAACCCCACTACCTACTCCAAGTTGCATTTTAAACAGTTACATCAAATACTCCAAATGTTTTTTTTCCCTAAGAGATTTTCTTTATGCTGCTGAGACTCAACAACTTTCAGCAAATTTTAAAATTATTTGCAATCAGCTAGTACTACAGCAATGTATAATAATATCGGAAGGTATTGGGGAATTCCTGAATAAGCTGGTTCCCCCAGAAAACAAACATCCACTTCTCAAAAGCAAATAACATCCCTTTCATGACACATGCCCCCAAACCAAGTACATTCATCCATAAGCAGTGACTCTTCTCTCTTTGTCCCCTCAAACAAGGCAGCTATAGTTATTAACCTTTTACAAAATTGCTGCTGTAATGTATATCGAGTGAAGAATTAGAGGGTGTTGAATGAGATCCTCCTCACATCTGATCAATGTTCATCTAAGCTTTAAGGCATTTTTTTTCTGCCACAAAAGCCTTGATGCCATTTAAATCCTTTTACTCTTCCTACCATCCCACAACTAAGTGTGGGAAGACATAGATGAGCACAGCAGTGCTTTCAGTATAGAAAACCTTGAGAAGGGGAAGAAGGCAGATTCTTCAAGACATAGGTTCTTGACAAAATTCCAGAATCTATTATTAAAAAGATGCTTTATGACCACTTAAGAAAGTGGTGATCTCTAAGAACCAATGTGGGTTCATGAACAACAGAACATGCCAGACTAACTTCCTTTCCTTTCTTGATGGGGTGTCTACACTGTTAGGTCAGCAGAATGCTATAGATACATCATACTTATATTTCACTGAGGAATGTGCTGGGTTTCTCATGTTATCCTTTTGAACAATTTGGAGATATGTGGGCTAAATGACAATACAGTTTGGTGCATTTAGGAATTTGAATGATTGGACCCAAAGGGAGAGGATTAATAGATTGGTATCAACCTAGAGGGATGTTTCTAGTATAGTGTCCCAGAGCATCTGTCTTTGACTCCGTCCTTTTCAGCAATTTTATTAATCATGAGATGGGATGCTCATCAAATCTACAGATGACCTAAATCTGGGAGGGATAATTAATATGTTGGATGATAGACTTGGGATACAAAGAAAGCTTGAGAGGCTAGAATGACGGGCCACATGCAATAAGATGAAACTTGATAGGGACAGATGCAAAGTCCAAATGTAGGCTAAAAATAATCCAATGTCAAATATAAGATAGGGAATGTGAATAGACAGCAATTCACATGAAAAAGACCTGGAGAGTTTAATTCTGCAATCTCAACATCAGAAGTAGATCTCACGATTCCAAATCCAATACCTTTCCCATTACATTATATTGGCACTCCCTGGAAACCTACTCTTGGTTTCTCTCATGCCAGTATAGAGCTAAGACTAGAACTCTGCTCTCCCTTGTTTCCCAATCCAGTGCTCTAAGACAAATGAGTGATAACTACGGAGAGACAGATTTTTGTTTGTTAAAAGAAGGAAAAAAAGCCACCAGAAGAATGAAGAATTGGCTGTCAGTGGGATGAACTACCCTGGGAAGTAGTGAACTTCACATTGCAGTATATATTAAAGCAGGTGGAGGATCAGGTATACGCAAGAGGGAATTCATGCTTTAGTATAAGGTGGACTAACTGACCACTGAGCTCCCCTCCACGTTTGAGTCTATGATTCTGTTTTTTCCCCGCTGTACCATCCTTCTGTGAAACTTGTGTCCCTGCTACACCATATTCATTTTAAACCAATTCAACAACTAGTATTTTAAAATCATCTACTATATACAAAGCACAGAGCTAAAGCTTGGGGATGAGAAGAAAAAGTGAAATAACCTGTCATTGTTTTATTGGGGAGATAGATATAACAGAAGTCCTAGAAATATTACTTTTAAGCCAAAGGTATTCATATGGAACTGAAGTTTACAAAGCACAGAGTTGGGATAACCGATTGTCTAATGTTACACAATTCAACTTGTAAGATGTGAGCAGATTCAACTTCTTTCAAATTTAATGAGGGGTGAGAAAAACAATGAGATTAATAAACCCTGGTTTTAAGTCAAATAAAACAATTCTTCAGAGACCACTCTGAGTTGAGGGGGGCACAGTTAGAGAAGTGAACTGTTATATACTGTTGGGTTATTTTATCTGTTAGTTTTGCTTAAGGCTTTTTCTTTGTTGCAAGGCAGGGTTTAATGGAGGGGTGTGTATCTTGGGAAATGACTGGTATAAAAAACAAAAGGCATCCATAAACCTTTATCAGATTATATATGAAATGCTTTACCTTCCTTCCTTCCTTCCTTCCTTTCTCCCTTTCTCCTTTCCTTTCTCTGTCTCTCCTTCCTTCCTTCCTCCCTCTGTCTCTTCGTCCTTCCTTCCTTCTTCATCTTTTAAACTTTATGTGAGGGGAGATGCTCTGGGAACTTGGATCTCTGCCCTGAAATGCACCACTTTTGACTACAGCATTTATTCTACTACAGAAAGCAGTGAGGAGAAAGGTGGGGCTTACCTCAACTAGTGGGTGCCAGTGAGCAATGGGTTTCCGAGGGTATGATAGCATTTCACTCCAGTGATCTCGTCCAAGGCGTTCTGCTTCGTTGCCTACTTGGCACACCCCAATGATCTCATTGTGACCTACACTGTGAAAATGGCCCACAATGTTGTTTTCTTAAAATGTTGACATTCAGTGACAACCATTATTTACATGCAATGAGACAGAACATTGATTGCATCTGCTTGTCAGCCCCACACACTGCTGTGCTCAAAACTGGATCTCAGGCTATTAGGAATAAGGATATCTTGAGCCAGAATTAGAGGAGGAATAGTGAGGTGTATATGTGGAGAGGACTAGGGTTAGACACCGAATTTCCTTGGTTTCTGCAGGATTATCCCTATTTTTCTCATTCATAGGTTCCCTCTTTTTCCTTTATAATGCTTCATAAATGTTAATTAATCACACTTCACAGCCCCATTATACATGTCTATCATATTAATCCCAGGCAATCTTTGGGTTTCTGAAAGAGGCAGAGAGGTTTAACAAGGCCAGGGTCTGTGTCAGGTGGGAACATAGAGGCCCCATAGAAGGTATGATAGCAAAAGGCCTCCCAAGCTTTGATAATAGAGGGAAAAGAAAGTGGGCTTATTATTCCCACTTCTATCTTTTCTTTATAAAAGATGTTCTACCCTTCTGGCCAATGCTTGGTTAACTCCCCTTCATTTAGAATTTGACAGAATATCATTGATTCAGAACCCATGTTTTTGAAGCTTTCTCTATATTTCACCATCTTATTTTCTTGACAGTTTTTTTAAGTTTGCAAGAGAAAGCAAGTTTCTTATTTTTCTCATTAACTCTTCTCTCCATTGTCCTTGCCCTCAGACTTAAGTAGGGACTCTCTTCCTTTAAGTGAGTTTTTATCCATTTCCCTCATTCCTAGTTGTATATAATCTAGACCAGAAGCATCAACCCTGAGACCCAAGGGCTGAGTATAGCCTGAACCAGAATAACATGTAACATGTAATTAACAAAATAAATAAAAATACAATAAAATATTGATAAGGTTAATATGCAGTTTTTTAAGGCAATTGGGGTCAAGTGACTTGCCCAGGGTCACACAGCTAGTAAGTGTCAAGTGTTTGATCTGAGGCCAGATTTGAACTCAGGTCCACCTGATTTCAGGGCTGGTGCTCTAACCAGTGGGCCACCTAGCTGCCCCAATATGCAGTTTTTAAGTTAATGTGCACTCACAGGAATCTTTATGTATGGTTTGGAGATTGATCCCTGTTTCTATTCAAATTCGACAGCACTGATCTAGACAACCAATACTTTAAGGTACATAAGTTAGAACCAGAGTTCAAACCCCCTCCCCCTTTCCAGGACAATCACCACAAACCTTCCAAGGTATGGTGGTTATCATTGAGTCACTGCAGATTGGGGTAGGGAGAAGCTCATTCTAGGCTGTCAAAAGGCTGTACATACTCTCTGTAGCTTCTGAATTTGGCACCTTGGGGTAAAGCATTAGTTGTTCCATTCTGGTTGTGGCTCTCTTTTGGGAAATCAAATCTCTCTCTCTCTCTCTCTCTCTCTCTCTCTCTCTCTCTCTCTCT